TTTTCTTAAAGTCCACATCATATACAGGTTACAAAACATTCCCCAAAATAATGATTATTTTGGACCAAAGAATTTAGAAATTTAACTAAAGACTATGTAGAAAATCAGGAAAGTAAGAGTCCTATTCAACTACAAACACAGGCTGAAATGCTTTCATTATTACAGAAAACAATAAACTTTCCTTATTAAGTTGGGAGAAAAAGGAAATTAATTCCCAAGGAAAACATATAAAGGAAGTAATGATAAGCAGATTATTGTGCCTGTGTGTTTTCTGTTCCCTCTTCCAGTAAATCACACCCAGAGTGTGTGAGTGCTCTGTTGCGTCCGACTCTTTGTAACCCCATGGACTGTATAGCCTGCCAGGCTCCTGTCCATTGAATTCTCCAGGCAAGAATACTGGAGTGGGTTGCTATTTTCCTCCTCCAGGGCATCTTCCCCATCCAGGGATCTAACCAGCATTCCGATTCTTTACCTGGTGAGCTACCTGGGAAGCCCAAATCAAACCCAGATTGCAGGGACATAGTCTTACTGTCAACTTGTGATTAATGTGCCTGCCTCACAGTTTGATCTCAGTACTTAGAAGTACTTTCAGCTTTCCCAAAGTTAGACCTCTCCTTTCGGCCTCCGAAGTAGGCTACTTCTATTTTAGCATTCATTAAAGTAATATAGTCACATGAGCCTTCCGCCTCACACCAGTACTTCAAACACATGTATTTGTTTACCACTTAGAATGTGTCAGTTGATTGACATTAATGTAATCCTTGTACACCACTGTTATTTTGGATTTCTCTGTTTTTCACAAATCGAGGCTCAGAAAGGCTAAATGATCAAGGTCAAAAAGCGAATTCATCACAAAGTCAGGATTTGGTTGCACATCGACCTGCTTTCAAATGCAAGCTTTTTCTGCCAGAACAGGTTACTTTAAATTCAGGGGCAAGACTAGTTTGTCACCTCAGCTCGTAGCTTAGCTCGTGGAACAGAGTATCTAACAGGTTAGGCATTACTTGCGCCCTACTGTCTGTTAGGTTCCGTTTTGTGTACTATAGAGAGATACACCACTCACAGGCCTGTGGCCTAGGTGAGGAAAGAAATCAGAAGAATTTAGGACACTGCGCGACACAGTGTCCTTTACACAGACATCCTTTACTTAACGCCCATCTCTATGGTTGGCATGTAACCACTCTATACTCTGGAGGACTCAGCGAACCCGGCCATTCAGTGAGCCAGTTTACAGTCACGTGGCAGGAAGTTTAACTTGCAATTGGTCGATAGTGGTAAGGCCCGCCCAACTACATCCGGTCTGCTTCTTTAAGTAGAAACCAGGCCAGTTTCCTTTCCTTTCAGCAGCTGAAGAGCTGGGCAGGTGAGGTGGTGTTTGTCTTGTCCCGGGGCAGGTCTGTACCAGGTCCCGGGAGCCTGGGAATCGGGCGGAGGGCGGGCGGCCTGCGGTGATGACATCCCAAATAAAGCACGTGTTAGACTGCTGACGCGGGTGATGCGAACTGGAGTCTGAGTCGGGCTGCCTCGGCGGCGGGGAAGAGACGGGCCTGAGGGCACATCGCACTCCTCACCCACAGCTTTTGTTCTTGCAGATGGCTCGGAGAAGGACGTCGGATGTCATTGTCCTCCCAGCTTTTCCATCTTCCCCCGAAGCCCCTCAATAAAATGGTTTGATTCCCGTGCTGGTGTCCGATGTTGTTTGTCGCGACGCGCTGCCTTTGAGCCCCCGCCGCGCCTGCGCGTGGCGCCGGGGGTCAGGCTGCAGCGCCAGAGCACGTGCTCGCGCATAACTGGGGTCGTCTGCCCCACCGGCGGCGGCCCTTTTAACCGCGAGCGACACGGCCGCCCTGGGCTCCGGGGCCGGGGTGGGGTACGGGGGCCTGGGGAAGACGTCGGGGGTCCTGTAGTCTCTGCTTATTTCTTGTGCCTTCCCTGAGTCCGAGTGTCACTTTGATGGGGATCTGTGAGATGCACAGGCTCATTTAACCGCCGTGTGGATGGCCATCTGCAGGGAGAGGAGATGAGAAATAGGCTGTGGCCTTCCAACAATTCAAGGGCCGTGGTGTACTTCACTGGAACTGCCTCCCGGTTTGGGGCCTCATGAGCTTAACTTTGCGATAAGGGGTATTTGCGGACTACCTTAAAATAGGCTTACCTGGTGACTCAGACGGTAAAGCGTCTGTCTGCAATGCAGAAAATCCAGGTTTGATACCTGGGTTGGGAAGATCCCCTGGAGAAGGAAACGGCAGCCCACTCCAGTACTCTTGCCTGGAAAATCCAAGAGCCTGGTAGGCCAAGGTCGCAAAGAGTCGGACCCGACTGAGCGACTTCACTTGCTTTGACTTAATAGGGTATGCCTCAGACAGTGTAAACAGCTCACAGTACCAAGGTTTTTTGCCACAGGGCACAACATAGGCACCTACTTGCAGGTGTAATCCACATTCTGGGAGTTTTAAAAACGTGCACAAAGGGAGAGTTGAGTTTTATCATCCATTCGATGGATATGAGTTTTGAGCAAGCTCTGGGAGTTGGTGATGGACAGGAAAGCCTGGCATGCTGCAGTCCTCAGGTGGAAGACAACTGAGGACTGAAGTTGTATTTGGGGTAAAATAAGGGCTGCAGCCCAGGAAACAGCTCTGAGAACCGCTCCAAAGAAGCAGGTCAGTACAAGAGATTTTGGTGAGGGAATGCATGCAATTGAGCACGTATTTCTCTAGTTTTCTGCTAGTCTCGTAAAGCTTTTGCTAGTCACAGGGGCAGTTGTCACCATGAGGTTTTCAGTGTTTTCTGAAGACCTGTCTGCCAGTCCCTGCCTGGAGCACAGAGTGCTTTATTACTGGTCTCCACTTGTAGGGGGTGGGTGTTGAAGGTCACCAGCTGCAGCAACACAGGATTTAATCCTTGGAGAGGTACATGGCAAGTGCCAATTTGTAGTTAAAACATAGATGACAACAGTCTCCGAGGCTTAGCTGAAACGTGCATTGGTTCCGAGGACAAAGCGGCAGGTGTTGAAAGGCAAGTGCTCACAAGTGCCACTGCTTTGTTGCTTAATAATGGAGGTGGCTCCAAGTTAGTAAGCAGTTGGTGTGAACTCGGCCTAGGAGGGCTTTGCAGGTGGTGCTAGTGAAGAGTCCACCTGCCAGGGAAGGAGATCTAAGATACAGGTTGAATCCCTGGATCAGCAAGATCCCCTGGAGGAGGAAGGCACGGCAACCCACTCCAGTATTCCACCCTGGGGAATTCCATGGACAGAAAAAGGAGCCTGGCAGGCTGCAGTCCATAGGGTTGCAGAGTTGGACATGACCAAGGTATATACCCCATACCAAGGTGTGGTCCATGTTGGATCCTCAACAGAACAAGTCCAGTGATACTCAAGAAACAGAAGCTGCCATTGGCAGCTGATGGCTCCGATTCTGTGCCACAGTTTATTCTGTTACCTAAACAGGATTAAGTAGAAATAACTTGGATGCTTATCTAGTATTTGACATGAGATATTTATTTGTGAAACAATGCAAGCGATTGTAAATCCCCCACATACTATTTGATTAAGTGCAATAAGGTACAGTCATGTGTAATCTCTTTACACAATAGTGCGTCTAGTCCTTTGCCTTAAATTATTGCACAAAAATTATAAGACCAGTGAAGAAGACATGCGGACTGACAGGCAAATTGGCCTACACGATGAGAACAGTACACCAACTGGAATGGTCCAATAATTTAAGTCAAATGTTTTAATGGTGCAATTAAAGTAATCAAAAAGGGTTCAAATATATTCTCTCAATATATTAATTTCTTTAAAGTCATGTTCAGGCAAGGTGCTGCTGCTGTTTAAAAAAACACTATTAGCTTTGTCCACAGATGTAGTTGTCAAAAGTCACCCAAGGTAAGTCTGATGTTGAATGCAGCTTTAAACAATAAAAAATTTGTATTTTGAGTGTACTTCTCAAAGCAAATTATACAGTTGAGAGAGCCCTGAAACTTGTAAACTAAACATTCTGACACAAGTGCACAAAATAAAGTTGGCAACGTTAAATGTCACGTTAATTTTGAGATCTGTAGTGTTTGATGTTGAGCAAACTTTTGGTCTTGACTCAAGATGATAAGAGAGCAGTCCTGTTTTGGCCATCAGAAAAGGAAACTGCCCACAAAACATCCCTAGCCAATTAGGTTAACAAGGCATTTAAGATGCCTATTTAAAGCTTCCCAGAGCACAGAGGAAGTGCCAGGTGGATGGACGGTGGCTCTGGCTTCCTGGCCCCACCCCAATCCAGTCTTGTGCAGTGTTTGACATTTTCACATATGCTTGGGTCTCAGGAAAACAGGATCAGTTAGAAACCAGGTGATTGTACCTTGTTGATAGAAGGCATGGGATGGTTTGATCTCATGGCTTTGCCTAATGTACACATAAATCCCACCATTCTCGCCCCAGCTGATAGTGTGTTAAGAGTTGTATGTTCTATGGCTACTTGCTTCCAAAACACACAATTTAATAAAAGTAAGTTGCTATGCACATCGCTTTATCACCAAAGACATAGTTGACAAAATTCCACTCCCCACCCTCCACACATGGAACCACACTGATGTTCTCTGGGGCCACCTCATACAAACTGAAGAAGTGAGAAAATGTTCTACTGCACTGGCTGCCTGAGCAAAAGCCTTGGAGGCATCGAGGAGGCAAAGGGAAGCCTTCCAGCCGTGCAGCTTTGCTCTTAATGTGCTCTTTTGCTACAACAAAACCTGGTAGACTTAGAAAAGCCAGGATGGGAGTCACCAGTAATCTCTGGATCCACTGGGATGATCCTTCCAGTTTTCCTTTGCTGAGGCAAAGCTTTGCAGCAGGCAGTCTGGACCCCAGTCTCGATGCCTCAGGGTGGGACCGGCACCAGCAGGCAGAGGGCAGAGCAGCGGCCCAAGGAAAGGCCCGTGCTACCGCCCAGACGGCAGCCGAGAACCCCACACCGAGCCATCTCCTAGTGCTGGGAATACCGGGACTGCACCCGTCACGGCTGATCAGCGGCCTCCACGGGCGGCTCTCTCAGGAGGCTGGAGGTGGAGCGAGGATCCATGGCCGAGTGCATGATGGGGATGTACACATCATCCATGTTTGGCATGACAAAAACTTTCTGCAGAAAGAAGGGAGAGACGTGGAACAAGGCTCTGTTCTCTGGGAATTGCCCTACTGTGTTCTGATAAGAATTTTAGGCTTTAGACAAGTTTTTAAAATACATATGAAATAACACATTCCACAGTCATTCCAAATATTCCTCTATGATATTCAGAAAGCCTTGAGGAATCAACACCAGTGTGTGAACATGAGAACCCAATAGACTGTGAGGCAGAAGCAACCTTTGAGTTCATGTACATATAATAAAATTACTCGAGTTGATAAATAACATTAAGAAAATTGGCATAAGCTGCTCACAGGATTCCAAACTACTATATCCAGAACGCATGTTCTAAGTAAATTTTATCCTAGCACTTAAAATCCTAGCAACAAAAAAGTAAGTTGATTTTTTTCCCCCAAACCAGAACCAGTTAAAGCTGCTTAGAAAAGAAATCCTACTCTCATGAATACCCAAAGGATAATCAGTGATTGACAGTAATGGTGCTTTGCCTATTTATAAACTAATTTTATGTAAGTAAATTTTGGCAATGTATTCAATTTCAGCAATGCTTTCTTCCAAAAGCAAAAACAAAAACATGTGGCCTTGGCAGAATGCAGTTACCCTTCAACTTTCCAACTTGCCTCGAAAATACCATGCACCAAAGTCTGCCCCCTAAAAGGGGTGACCCTTCTACCCAAACACTCTTAAGAGATGACCCACCCAAATTCCTCACGTAGGAAAAAGGAAAAGAACTAAAGGCATGAGGTTGTTTTTCCCCTAACTAGGTTCAAAGTGCTTTTTCTTTTGGAGATAAAGCTTTCCATAAATTGGTTGTTATATTTACAGCTATAGCTTTTAAATAATATAGTTTTTAAATAATAAAAAGTATAATTTTAAAGGCAATGACTGAAAAGCTACTACTGCAAACATAATACGCATCTTCTTCAGAAGGTGAAATTCATTATAAAATAAATAGTCTGTTAATCCATAAAACCTTAAAAGTCAACCATGCCTCAAAAACCTGATAAAAATTTAACAGAAATAGCTCATTGCAAGGCCTCAGCTACACTGCTATTTCCTGTGGTGGAAGAATGCAGAGACAGGCTTGGAGAATGTGCTCTGGTTGAGTCAACTCCAGGACTACCCTAGAAGATTCACAGGGTAGGGACAGGCCTGATTCATCTTTGGACTCCCAAAGCAGGTGGTAGCTGCACATAGAATGTTTGCAGAAAGGTAAGATGGATGCCAGACAAGCGCAGGAATGACTTCCCTGACCACGGCCCAGGTGCTACTCACTGGCCAATTCCAGGCCCCACCTAGGGAACAAGTCCAAAGATGGCCCCAGCAGATGGACGACTTAGCCCTGGCCAGGCCTAATGGGACATGACAGCCGTTTTGCTCTTTGACCCCAGTGTTTTGAGTTTCCTCTGAAGACTATGTAACAGGGTGTGGATGAGTTTCAGGGTTTCTAAAACTAAACCTGAAATTTCATGCCTGTTTGATCACATGTGTACTTTCTCCAGATGAGGGTCCGTAGCTTTCATCAGATTTTTCCAAGAAGGATCCTGACCCATGTGAAGTTCAGAACCTCTGTTCTGCCCAGAGTCTTTAGACTCAGCATGAAATACTAGATGACACTGTAGGTATACCTGAAACTCTTGTTCCAGTTTCTTCTCTATCCAGTCTGTCACATGAACTAAAGTCACTTCTCTCTCTCCAAGTTTTGGCCGAGCTTTCAGCTCAATATATGGTGGCTTCCGGAAACCATACCTTTTAAAAGAAGACAATAACCACATTTAGAAGCAAAGGAAAGAAGCGGATGGTACCCAGAGTAAACATTCTTCATTTACACAAAGGCTTCATCAGTACTTGAAAATGTTTTCTTCTTCTGAAAATCCCTTCTAAAAAAAAACACTTCACTGCAGCAGGTATGAATTGTGAACTCCCCGTGTCCCTGGACCCAGGGCTGTGATGACTGGGGATCAGTTCTGACAAACCAAGACAGCCAGGAAACACCACTGGAAAAGTCTATGACCTGGGCATTGTTTCCGGTTTTCGTTTTTCCTAAAATGGCGAGCATATTTTTTGTTTCTATTTTTATGAGAGTATGATACATCTGTTACAAAACCCCAAATATAAAAGTGTATAAAGCAGGAAATAACACTGTCTCTCTCTGGATCTCATAACCAGGATAGGACCACTGAGAGAAACACGATCAATTTCTCCCATACTCCTAATATGCATACATGAACAGAGAACCTTCTGTAACCTGCTTTTTCATTCCACACTCCACACTGTGATTATTACAGCTTCTCAGAGGAGCCAACTGGAATCAGAACTGTTGGCAAGGTATCCAGTCAAGAGACTGTGTGCTCTCAAACTAAAAACTTCTATCCGTTATGGACCAACATTTTAAAACATCCAGGTACACCTTGGAGATATGTGGGCTCAGTTCCAGACTGCTGCACTAAAGCTAACATTGCAATAGAGAGTCATGTGAATTTTTGGTTTCCAAGTGCATATAAAAGTTATATTTACACTATGTTGTACTCTATTAGGTGTGCAAAACAATGTATATACCTCAATAAAAAAATACTCCACTGCTTAAAAAAAAAATGGTAACTATTATCTGACAACACAGGGTTGCCACAACTTTTAATCTGTAAAAAATGCAGTATGGGCAAGTGCTAGAAAGCAAAGCACAGTCAGACAAGGTCTGCCCATACAATAAAAATGGCAAGTTGCTATAAATATTCTAAACACTCTGAATATGTATAGCTATCTTTGTGGATTAATAACAAATAGTGCAGCGCTCAAGCCTGCACTGGGTAGCACTAGGCTGTGCGTGCTAGGTCGCTTCAGTCATGTCCAATTTTTTGCAACCCCATGGACTATCGGCCACCAGGCTCCTCTGTCCATGGGATTTTCCAGGCGAGAATACTGGAGTGGGTTGCCATTTCCTCCTCCAGGGAATCTTCCTGACCCAGGGTTCAAACCAGCATCTTTTAAGTCTCCTGCATTGCAGGCAGATTCTTTACTGCTGAGCTACTAGGCTAGAGGCCTCTAATTTTAATTACCACTGAGCAGTGGTGTTTGTTACTCCTAAGTCAAAGCTTGGAAGTAAAAAGAAGATATGTATCAACTCTTACTATTTAAAAAAATTTTTTTTAAATAAATAATTTTTTTTTATTAAGCTGCACAGTAAGGTATTATCTGGTTATTTTTGAATGGTAAAGTTATAGGTTCTTATTTGTTGTTGTTGTTGTTTTCATATTCTTCCAGCGAAAATATTATTTAAAAAGAAAATCCTAAACAGTATTTTAAAGTTTTTACTAGGAAAACACCAATATCATCATTAAATGATCAGCCCATTAAACAACCCTTTAGTAATCATTTTTACAAATCCTTCTGAACACCAAGGATGTGCAGCAGCATGCTGGTTTCACAGGACGAGAGAACAGAGGTACCTTTTTCATAGGGGCTTCCCTGGTGGCTCAGGGGTAAAGAATCCGCCTGACAATGCAGGAGACACAGGTTCAATCCCTGGGTTGGGAAGATCCCCTGGAGAAGGAAATGGCAATCCACTCCAGTATTCTTGCCTGGGAAATCCCATGGACAGAGGATCCTGGTGGGCTGCAGTCCATGGGCTCGCAAAAGAGTCAGACATGACTTAATGACTAAACAACAACAATCTTTTTCATATGAGCGTAGCTTATGGTACAATGAGGTCTTTTATGTAATCGCTATATACCCTTATGCACATTTATAGGTCTTACTTGCCAACTTAAAATTGAGATTTAGAAATAGTTGTTTTCTTCTGCTGGGATCATGAATAATTTTTTTCAGTGATTCTCGGTCCTGGCTTAGTCTCCCAACTCTGGAATCATGGGAGCTGGGCTTGGCACAGCTTTAACAAGTCCCCAGGTGACTGCGACATGCAAGTAGGGTTAAAACCCACTGGTTCATTCAAATGACAACTCTTTGGGTCACCCTTCTCAGTAGCTCAGCTGGGAGAGAATCCACCTACAATGCAGGAGACCATGGTTCGATTTCTGGGTCAGGAAGATCTGCTGGAGAAGGGACAGGCTACCCACTCCAGTATTCTTGGGCTTCCCTGGTAGCTAAGCTGGTAAAGAATCCACCCGCAATGCAGGAGACCTGGGTTTGATCCCTGGGTTGGGAAGATCCCCAGGAGAAAAGAAAGGCTACCCACTCCAGTATTCTGGCCTGGAGAATTCCAGGGTCATAAAGAGTCAGACACAACTGAGGGACTTTCGCAATCTACCAGTTACCAAGCACACATCCTGCCTCCTCAATGTGCAGGTCTGACCTGGGGAAGTCTTCCCTCACCGCCCAGGACTCTGCTGGATGTGTGATCCCCATCTGTAAAGTGGGGCATAATGGTAGCCCTGTCTCCACAGGACGCTGTGAGGACTGGCCCGGCAGAGAATGAGGGTTCTACAAATCACAGCTCTTCTTCCCGGTGGAAAGGGCTGGCTTGAGAGAGGAGGAAGACCTAGAAACAGCTCATCCCACAAACTTCACCTGCTGACTTAAACTCTTCCTAAGTGTGAAGATTAGTATTTTTTTGTTTGTTTTAATTTTTGGTTGCACCATGCAGCATATGAGATCTCAATTCTTCAACCAGAGATTGAATCCATGCCCCCTGTAGTGGAAGCCCAGAGTCTTAACTACTGGACCACCAGGGACATTTCAAAAGACGAGTCTTTCTCACAATTTTTAAAAAATCTGAATTATTTTTTAACAGAAAAACCAACATGTGTGTCACACGGGGCCAAGTGGAGTCCTTGTCCCTTTATTATACCTATTTTTTGCAACTTGGGTTTCCAGTTTACAGACTAGTCTTAGGTAGTAGCAAAAGAGCCAAAGAAGAGATTGGTATTGCTGAGCTCAGAGCGGCGCAGAGGCCGTCCGTCCGAGAGCGCTGAGCGGTGGGAGGACACCAGGTGCCCCTTCCCACTGTGCCCCCACCTCCCGGCACCACCCAGCTTACGGCCGGAGCAGGATGCCCTCCTCCTTAGGAATCTAGCGATGCCTCTTGCCTCAGGGAAACGTTTCTTTGATGGGGAGTTGATGAGGTTTCTTTTCCTTGTTGATGCTTTATTTGTGGTGATGGAAGAGTGAGTGACTTGAGCCACAGCAAGGAGGGCTGCAGGCGGAGGCGTCCCGGCCACCACGCTGCAGGCTCCCCTTGCTGGCAATTCTTGGGTGTGAAAGGGCTGTGGCTTTTGTGCAGCGACTATGTTGGTGTTGGGGGTGGTGTGGAAATTGTTAATCTTGTATAAAGCAACAAAATAAATTGTTTCAAGGTTTCCAGAAAAAAAAAAAATAAAATAAAAAATCTGAATTATTATTTCATAGCATAATACCACATATGCATACTTAGTTGCTCAGTCGTGTCTGACTCTTTGCGACCCCATGGACGGTAGCCCTCCAGGCTCCTCTGTCCATGGAATTCTCCAGGCAAGAATACTGGAGTGGGTTACCATTTCCTCCTCCAGGGGATCTTCCCAACCCAGGGATCAAACACCAGTCTCCTATGTCTCCTATAGTGGCAGGCAGATCCTTTACACTGGACCACCTGGGAAGCCCTGAAGGTATATCTTATATGTGAGTTAACCACTCACAGAAGAAAAGCAGAATCAGATTTACAACTAACTTCAAGGTTCCAAGAAAAATGTTTGAAAGTACTTCTTCCCAGGAAGAAGGTACTTTCCATAATGTCACAGGTCAGCAGACTATGATTTTTATGATCATGCTCAAGGGGAAATCACTGGCTGACCCCAAGTGGCCTTCTACATACGAACCATATTCGATCAGTCGCAGGAGGTGGAATGTTGACTGCCAAGGTTCCTCTACATTCTTGTACTTCTACAGTTAGCAGTAGGGGTGTATTGGAGACTTCTTCAATCTTCTTTTTAATGAATTCTGTCTCTGTTGCTTTTTGGAAATATTTTGACTTGGTAATTTTATCAACAAACCTCATGATCTTGCTTGTTCTATGACCTCCAACATACCTTTAAGTGAGAGAGACAGGCAAGTGTTAGCGTCGGCTTTGTTCCTTCATAAACAGAAACTTGGTGGCTCTGTGTTCACTTGATTTTAGACCAGAGTTTCTCAACAGCAGCGCCACTGACACTGTGGACTGGGAGATTCTTTGCTGTGGATGCCCCTCTGTATGAGATGTTTAGCAGTATCCCAAGCCTTGGTTGCCTTGATGTCAACAGCACATCTCCCAGCAGTTAAGACAATAAAGTGTCTTTGGACATTGCTAAATGTCCCCTAGGGGGAACAAAAGAACCCCTAGGTGAGAACTACTACTTCAGATAAGGTGTAGACATCAGATGGAGCCTAGTCTTGATGATGGAGAGTCAGGGCAAGTTCCCACAGTGCAGGCAGGGAATGCATCTCACCTGTTCTCCTTAATAACCTTCAAATATGGAATACAAATCTTGTGCCCTCTTAGAAAAAAATCTCACCGTCTCTATATAGCATATAACAGGGCCACAAAACACAGTAAAACATCTGCCTTTCGGATAGTGTCACACTAACTTTGAGCAGCAATTACTTGTCAAAGAGTTTTAGGAGCATCTAAAGAGAACAGCTACATCAAGATCATGTGCCAGCAGGCCAGGAAAGTAAGCTTCTGTATCAGGCCACATCTACCTATGACTGCCCTAAGAAGAGAGGATATTTGTTTCTTAAAATCCTCGGCAGATCTAAAGTTCAGGAATAGTATATGTTTGTGTGTAGGGAAAAGCCATTACTCTAAAGAAGGTCAGCTGGGGAATTTAAGTAGTGCACACAAACTCTAGTGCCAACTCCTCAAACGTCTAGATTCTTTTTGTCTTCTGTAGGATTTCAAAAGTGAACAGGCTGATGTTTTCTTACAAATGCTTCTGAATCACTTGGTTTCTTTATCGTTTCAGTTTCTTTGCTCACTGTAAATAATTAAAAGATCCTTACAGAGAGGCAGCCTAAGCACCACAGTCCAAGTAACAGGCAAAAGAAGCCCCCAAAATGAAGTTCATGATCCAAAAGGTCATCTAAGTGATCCACGTTTTCAAAATTCACCAAAGAAATCACTAGAATGTTTCAACTTTGTACGCACTATTAACAGACGATCACTGGAGGCACGTGACCCGTAAGAAGGGAAGTAATGCTCCCCACCGACACCAGGGGGAGCTGTTGTGAAATTTATGGTCCTTGGTTAAACATCCCTTCCATTCTCTTATTTACTCCAATGGCCTGAGAAAACCATTTTGGTCTAGACTCTCTTAATAAGGGAAAACTATTTGGGTGTTTTTGATTTGGGGTCTGGAATTTTAAGCCACTGGCTTTGAATTATTAATGCAAAAACCATTCACTCAAAGTGAAGGAGGAAGTAAGATCAGAGAGGGAAAAGGCGATGCAAAGCTCACGCCCAACTTGCGGCCCTGAGCCCCCGGGAGACCCCAGAAGCTGGATCCACTCACCCCTCAGCCCCCGGGAGGAGAGGTTTGTCTCCGGCGCTGGGCTCTGGTGCGTCGTCTTCGTCGGAGGAGCCAGCACTGGAGGACTCCTCGTCGCTGTCGGCCAGACAGAAGGCCCTGGGCCTGCAACTGATTAAGGCAGAGTCACCAGGCTGCCCGCCCAGCGCAGGTTCTGCTTAGGAAGAGCACGCGCTCCACCGCCACCAGGCCTATGGTGGCAGCACTCCCCGCCCCCGTCACCCGGACAGAAGAGGCCTAATCCCAGAATCCCCGGATAGGCCTGGCCCCCTGGGAGACCCTCCAGCGCCCAGTCCCGGGCAGAACCCTAGAGGACTTGTGCCGGGAGGGTTGGATTCTGCGCATGCGTCAGAAAGACAGGCGGTCAGCGTGTGATGCGGTCCACGCAAAATGCAGTGATCTCGTCCACACAAAATGCAGTGATCTCGTCCACACAAAATGCAGTGATCTCGTCAACAGTGCAGCGCAGCCAATGGGAGGTGAGTGGAAAGAATGAAGATTGCATGGGTGACGGGACAACTCATGTTGGTGACATGACCACTTCATGGATGACGAGGATGTTCAGGCAAGTCCTCTGACACTGGCTGAGTTCAAAAAAATTGTGCTTTCTGGCTTAGTCATCTCCAAGTTAGTTTTGGCTCGAGACTGCTTCCTTGTGAAATTACATACCCCCACTCCTGCCCCAGCTCCTGAAGTCACAGAAAAAGCCAACGACCAGAGGTACAAATCTCAAGGGATCCCAGGAGGCAACTGACATGGGAAGCCAGGAACCTTTCAGGAGAAGTACGAGTTTAAAACTTTTTAAATGAAGTAACAAAAAGCTTCACCGGGGAGCAGTGTTCCCCATGAATCTTTTCAGGGTGGCTTCTCAGTTTCCAGAGGCCTGGCGGGTCTGGGTCACCAGCAGTGGCGAGTCATCGAGGTTCCCCACTGAGGGCACTGGGGCTTCCCGGCTGAGCTCTGGGCCCACAAAAGGCAGCTTCCTCCCTGAAGGGAGGCTTACCTCAGAGAGGCAGAGAGGCGGAAGGCAGGGCCCATCTCGGGCTCAGAGACTTGACGGGGACAAAATGAACAAGGGACAGAATTGTCTCTGAACACTGTTGCGCTATCAGAGGTCACTAAGCAGACGGTCGGTCTTGTAATTTTGAGAAGGACAAAATCACCAGGACAGGGGAAGGCATCCCAGCTTAGGTCCCACCTCCTGCACTCGAAACCCTCTGGGGTCTTTCTCAGATGCTGTCCTTGGCCACCAGAAGCCCATAGGGGTGATCATCTCTTGGCCAACAAGGGCCAAGGGCACCCAGGGGCAGAGCACACCGGCCAGTGTGGCCTTGAAGGCCCAGCTGAGGTCCCAGCATGGGGAGGAGGGCCCTGAAATCTCCGCCCTGAAACAGGAGCCCGGCTGTAAGAGGACCTCTCTGGCAGGACACCCGGATCCTCCTCAACCCTGCTCTGAAACATTAGAGCCCGCACTCGAGCCAACGGGCTTGAGTGTGATGTTGAGAAGAAACTCCCTCTGCAGACACAAAGGCCTCTTGTCCCTGGCCTCGGGGACAGCACCTGACTCCTCCTCCTTCCATCAGAGACGGGTCAGTCCAGGAAATGCTCATGTGTGTCCGCTGGTCACAAAACCATCTCAGCCCTTTCAAGAGTTGGGCGGCCCTCACAGAGCTCTTCTTTTATATAAAAGGCAAAATATGATTCCTAAGAAAGCTTACACTGGGGTTTGGGATGAAGAAAGTCAGGGAAGTAAATCCCCAAAGATACTACGACCTCTCTTAGAAACCTATCTTACTTCTTAGGAACATGACGGCGCCCCCGGGTTCAGGCCGCGTGCTGCCAGGTACGGAATCTACACAGCACCACAGGCTGCCTCGGTGTCCTGGACCGCAGTGAAGCCTGCAGGGCCACTGGCCCCTCCTGTCCCCACTGGTGTTTGTCATCTGGCAGCCTCCTGACCTGGGGCAGAAGATGCCAAAGGCTGAGCACTGCAGTGAGCTCTCGGGTTCCTGAATTAACCCTCCGCAGGGTAGAGAACGGGACAAATTTTGTGGCTTAAAGTTAATAATTTAGACAATGCCTTATCATTTAAAATAGATCAGATGACATGAAATTCTGATTGTGGCTAAATGGTACCTCTTCTCTCTGCCCAGGGAGCTGTATTATGCAGCACCAACACTAATTAAAAGTGGGGCTAAATGTTTGGCTGATTCAAGTTTATAACTGAAAATGCATTTTGTGATCTCAGACTTATGATGAATTTCAGAGAAAGACACCCTGCACTTCTTATATATAAGGTGTGCTAGTACATGATAAGCCTATTTTTTAAAACACACCTTGAAATTCCAGATGAGAGTCCTGTCCTTTCTAACAGTCACCGTCACCTTAAAGGGCTGATTCCAGTTTCGCTGCCTCTGCTAAAATTCTTTTTGGAAATGTGCTTGGAGTCGGACACGTAGGAAAAGCGAATTATTTTATCACTGATACTCTGTCTTAAACCAAACATTTCTTAGCCTCATGACCACTGGCACCTCTGAGTGATGCCTGGCAATTACTCAAATATCTAATTCATCTAGAAAAAGTAGGATGATTTGTTGTCACTCAGAGTACTTAAAAGAAGGTCACAGACACCAGAGGCAGCTCTACAAAGGAGCTCCAAAGAAAGCTCCAACTGAAGGTGCACAATTAAACAGCCCAGTGAGGCGACTGCTTGGAGGGAGCCACGCTCTTGAGAGTGTTCGTTTTCTTTAACAGAAATTAGGCCCATACATCTGCTACAGATACATGTACATGTACACCCACAGTTAGACTGAGTCACAGCATGGATGACAAGGATGGGGTTCCCAGGACATCAGGGCCCCGGGGTGGGGTGGTGGTCTTGGATACACTGAGCAGCCTAATTTGGAGGCTGGGGGGCCCCCTACGGGACTTGCACACCAGCCCAGGCTGCCAAGGTAGAGCGCGGACAGGCTGTGTGCCTTACAGGAAACGCCGGCCCCAATGGTCATTTAAAGAGCAGCCAACATGCAGAACATTCCTGCTTCCTGACTCATTTAGGTCCCCTTCAGGCAATTCCTAAAGTTCCAACCACCCAGCTCACCACGTGAATTCCATTTTGGGCATCTTATGGCCCAAAGTTACCGTAACTACCGTACACAACCAGAAGACTATTGGGGACATGGAAAGACTAAAGGAAAAATGTATGCAAGTACAAAGTGAACCCACGTTTCAAAGGGACAGGCCTTCACTAGAGTGGAGCAACACAGACTTCTCACCACCAGCCTTGGGGTGATGATGTGAGGACAGGAACAGACTTTTTATGATAAGTAGGACTTCCAGAGGGCTGAGCAGCATCTCCTCGGGGACTTCTCAGGGCAGTCATTTGCATGCTTGAAGGGGGTCAGACAAAAGCAGTGAGACCAAGCAGAGGCCCTGCCAGAGCAGGCCGACAGGGGACAAGCCTCCGGCTGGAAGTGGGCCTTGGACTGGCGGCCGCGAGATAAAGGGAGGACCTGGGAGAAAGGCTGCTGCTGGCCCGCTCTTCCCACTCGCGGCTCTGGGGCTTCCTGAAGGAGACTAAGGGTCTTGTACCAGCCTCAGGTGCAGGGACTCTGCCGCTCCTCTGGTACTCAGCCTCAGGGCGATTCCTCAGCTCGTGACTGAGGAGAAGTGACGTGAGGACCACTTCTGGGATTAGGCTCTTAGCTACGGATGGGCTTTTCAGAGGCTCTCGAAGCTCCCAGACATTATGAGCCGAGTGGTGTGTGTGGGGGCATTTTTCTGGGGCAAGGATCCAGAACTCTCAGATTCCCACTTGGGTCCTTTTTGCAAAAAAAAAAAAAAGGCTGGGGGGAAGGGTTCATTTTTCCAGGCCTTTTTATCCCAAGGTCAAGTGCTTTGGAATTATATTTTTCTTTGCTTTTAAAATTAAATGACAGCCAATTACACATCAACATAAAATTTAACATGCTCACAGGAAGGCAAAACATACCAGACTCCACTGGGGAAAAAATGGTACTTTAGATATATATTAAACATTAAATATAATAACATTATATTCTTTTTTTATCATTATATTCTTAAAGCAGAGGATATTTTTCATGAAGTCTAGAGAAGCACTGCTTGCTCAGAAACATGTCCATCCTCTGATCAGCAGAGTTTTATGAACTTGAAATTGCTCCAGGAGAGCTGCATGAATAACAGCGAACGTGGGACGCCTCAGCGGCAAGGATCTCAGTGACCTGTCCATGATGGGGCCCCACCTGCCCACAAGACCCCCTTCTTTCTAGTGGAGCCCCAGCAGCTTTGGGCAGCACGGGGCTGTTTCCAGAAAGGGCTCCCTGCACAAATGCTCCTGATTTAAGCCTGCTCTGTCTTGCTCCTGGTTAGTTAGAGCTCATTTTCAAGACCGCTCCTACCTGCAGTGCTTGGTTTTATTGGCAGCTGTCTTTGCAGTTCTGCTGTCCTGAGGCTGGCCTGATGGTGCTCAGCGGGGCATGGCGCTGGGGAGGGGTAGCCGGGGACAGAAGCTGGGTTTGACTCGAGGGCTGGATCAGGACCCCGGCGATCCAAATCAAGGAAAGCCTCTTAAGTGCTCCTGATCTCAATCCTCTCAGGTCTACAAACGGGGCCTTTATGTTGGGGGACGTGATGAAAGGACAAGCTTCCTCGTGGTTGTCACATGGGTCCACACGAGACTCAGCACTGATGGGGGGATGAAATGCTACACAGAGGGCTGATCAATAGCACTCACCGGAAAACACAATCCACAGATTGCCGAATGCAAACACATTTTAACAAACAGTAGAAAGGTGAAAGGAAAATAGCACAGATACAGGTTAGATTGCATACAGCAGCTGAGATTCTCCAGTAATTAAAATATAAACATTTTCGTTAAGTCTCCTGGACAAATCAGAATCATCTCAGTGAAAGAATGTTCTGGAATGTATGATCCAACTCCCCCATCTATTGTGCATCTACCACAAGTGTGAATTACAAGCATTAGGGCAGCATCATAACAAAGCCAACACCTAAGAAGAGCCTGTGTCTTATGTTTATAATCAGGTGCTGGGAAGGTGGCTCCTGGTGGCATTTCGTATCATTTTACTGCTCATTCCATGCAAACGGATTAAAGATGTGAGATGCAGGCTCTAATCAGCATTTTTCAGTCTGATAATAATAATATAATTTAAATTTGTCATCTGAAGCAGTCATTTTTAAGGTGTGTGGGAACATAAAAGGTCCCAGCTTATTCGGTCTAGGAATCTAAGGGAAAAAAAATCAACTTTATCAACTGGTTCAAAAATTGGGAATATTTACAAAATCAGACAACTCCAGGGCAGATGCAGTATCTTCTACAAAGAAAGGCATTTACTAAGAAAATCAATGTTGTATTATTTAGGGAAAATGCGTTTCAAAACACTTTAGAAGCACCCTCTTGGCTGCAAAATCAATCATCTAATTATAAATAATTCTGACACTGATTAAAGCAGATAGACCCCCGAAGGACCTCAGCCCAGCCCACATATTGCTATCTGTGGCTGTAAGTTAGAGAAGGAACTTTCTGGATGGTGATTCTTTTCACAGAGCATTTTATTGTGCAGCCTGCCCTGCTGATCTGAATTAGGGATGCTTCCTGGGTAATCAGTACTGTGCAGCCCCGAGGCTGGTGGCCGGAGGCACTGTGCAGAGGTGGGGATTCATGGTCTGCAGGGGATGAAACCAGGAAACATTCCCTGAAATCCTCTGTGACCAGGAAACACTTTCATGGAAGCTCACTCAACACAACAAAGCTACTTCTCAAGGGCTGGAGGGAAGAGGAGGTTCCCCGGGGTCAGGTTAGTAAATTCATATAGCCCCTTACCCTTCTTTGCCAATTTCGCCAACCTTCAGGGCTTCAACAAGAGGCTCTTTACCTAGTTTGGTCAAATTCATTTTGGTCTCGAGAGTCATCAGAAAGGACCCGTTGTAGGACATTTCCAAATCGATCCAGAGTCCTAGAGAAAGGGTTAAAAAAAAAAAAAGGTTTCTTTCCCCCAGAGAAACATGACTACAAATAACAGTATTAAAACTATAAAGTATCTAAGTAGGTATCACATTGTAAGTCTATATATACTGCCTGTACTATCAAGGCATGTGAGAGGAGACTGTGAAATGAGAAGCTTCTAGAAATAGTTCAAGCATCTGGAAAATTGCCAGCATTTCAACACCCATTACAGTGACCACAGTGACCTCAGCACACGTTGTTAGAGATGGAAGGGTCCAGTCCTCTGGGTTCTTCTTACACTTAGTAAGGAACACAGCCCCCAGGAGAAGATAGCTTGTCCCAGGACAAAGGCGGGACGATGTCTGCTGATTCTCAGCGGGTTAGAGGCAGAGGAGATATGCAGAGACTTCACAGCAGGTTGGGCTCTTTAAAGACACAAGTGAGAACCACTGCCTTTCTTAAAATTCTCTCCTCTTGGAGAGTGGAAGTGGGGAGGGGCACAGAAAATGGTTCAGGTTTAGCTTGGTGTGATAAGGATGGTGACAAGACCTTTTACAACCCTTTTCTTTCTGGAAATTGTGTAGTAATGGAACCAAAAGAATTTATGTTCCAGCCCCAGGATTATCCAGATAAAGCTGGGTAACCACTTTGTACCTTTGCTTTAAAACCTGTTCCTTAGACACTCGTGTTGATGGGAGCATATCTTAGAGGCTTTTGGCTTTGTGGAATTTCACTGGGAAGGCCCATCAGAAGTGGCCACTGACCAGATGTCTAAAATGCAAACAGAGGTCATCTCATGACCTTCTACCCAGGATCCTAGAATTCAGCAGGCAGGACAGACCACACTGATTTTGACACTCCAAGCACCACACCACCTCATGGACTTCCCGTCAAAATGTGGTCCTTCAAGGGTGTTTAGATGTTAATAAAGTATAGATACTCATAAGACAAATAATATCTGAAAGGAAGCAGGAAATTAATTGAAAATCATGTTCACACACAGCTGCATTTTCAAGTAATTACAGTAAATAACCTATTCCCTGTTTGGCCACCAAGCATTAATGGTATAACTCCTTACTAAAGGCAGAATAATTTCCATTTTGCTTTCACCAAACTCCTTTTTATCATAATTGAAGGTAATTATTTTCCATGAATGACCTGGTCTAATTGACATGCAGATCAGCTGTGAATGTCTTTGCAGCAACTCACAAAACTGCTCTATTTCTTGCTTACGTTAAACACTTAAAAATCATTAATTAGCTTGCTCTCCAAAGGCAGTTACTGGAAATAAGGGCACACCTGCTCTAATAAAGATATTCAGTCATTAATCACTTCCAAAAGAAAGGGGATTCGGGTAAAAGGCTTGATATTAATAGATTTTTAAACTCAATATAAACAGAACATCAATAAAGAAGATATTTCTTTAAAAAAAAAGTCGGGTGGAGAGGGAGGTGGGAGGGGGGACCGGGATGGGGAATACATGTAAATCCATGGCTAATTCATCTCAATGTATGACAAAAACCACTGCAATGATGTAAAGTAATTAGCCTCCAACTAATAAAAATAAATGAAAAAAATAAATTAATTAATTTAAAAAAATATATATATATATAAAAAAAAAGTCATTTGTTTTTGTGTATCTCCAGATTTATTTAACTTGAGAATCAATGGACTCAAACTACCTGCTTGCTGTCTGTGTTCTTACAGGATCATTTCCTTTGAAAACCCTACTCAAGTTTCCAATAAATATTACTAGTTCAGACTCCCTTTGAAGGTTGTCATATTTATATACATATATGTATATTATATATTATATATATGTATATACATATACTATATATAGTATGTATATAATATATGTATATAACATAATATGTATATATTACATTATATTATGTATACTATGTAATATATATACATATATACATATATGTATACATATATACATATAATACATGTATATATATACACATACACACACATACTTTTTTTTTAGTGCTAACAAGTTTTAAAATTCCAGAGTCATACATAACTTTCCATTTGTACTTATCCTTAGCTTCCCTCTTTATTTTTTAAAATTAGTTTATTTAATTGGAATACAATTGCTTAACAATGGTGTGTTAAGTTTCTGCTGTACAACATGAGTCAGCTAAGGCTGTCATGTTAAAAGAACCAGAATTTTACTTGTTATGAAGTGGAAGCGTTCATCTGTTTTTAAATAAGGGGATATGGATAAAGTTTTGGTAAACAGCTGGCCCACACCCCGGTCATCGGCACACTCCAGTCAGTCACCTGTGGCCTGGCCCCCCTGAGCTGAGGCTGGAAGGAGGGCAGAAGAGTGCATGGAGCCCGGTCACATGGACCAGGGCTCGGGTTCCCCTGGAAATTTCTCGACCTCCGGGCACCGGCCTCCTCCTCTGTATCAGGGGACGACGCTGCCTGCACAGCCAGCGCCTGGTGCACCCTGGCAGGGCTCTTCCCTTTCTGCGCCATCGCCAGCCCACTTCCTTCCATGACTCTGGGCTGCAGCCTAGCTTGCTGTTGTTGCCGTGGCTCCTGGGAACCAGACCAGAGGAGGCCAAGGGGCCAGAGGGAAGAGGCTGCACCGGGCAGCCAGACAGCCCTGTCTGGCTGGGGAGCGAGGGATGGTGCATGGACATCTGACCAAGCTTCTGCATAGGGGATGGAGCTTGTTTTTTTATCACTGTATATGTCCCATGATGGTTGGATGGCATCACCAATTCAATGGACACGAACTTGGGCAAACTCTGGGAGACAGTGAGGGACAGGGAGGCCTGGTGTGCTGTAGTCCATGGGCTCAAAAGAGTTGGACACGACTAAGTGACTGAACAGAGTATGTCCCATGAGACCCACCCACAGGGCCCTGCATAGTCCTCGTTCTTAAGTGAAGATATAGAGTCAAGAACGGTTTGAGAATCTTTAAATACAGACATAAAGTACAAACACTCAAATTATCCTAATATGGCGTGCTTGTGTTCAGCTGAGGATAAGATGACTATTTGACCATCAGATGCAAAGAAAAAACATGTTTCTGTGACAATGATTCAGCTGCAAAAATCGCCCTGAAAACCTTGGAGCCCATACACCTGAAGCCAAGACCACCTGGTTACATAAAGAGAGTCAGGAGCTCCCACCTTGCAGAACTGAAGGATGAAATCAACAGTTACCAGAAAGGCTGTCTTCTTCCTGGGGACAAAGGTAGCAACACTGTGAAGTGGGGACACACACTGTGTCCTGAGTGGCACCCTAACCCTAGCGGGCTGCACACTCCTCACCTGGGTGAGCACAGGAACTGTTTCTTCTGGGCTCTTGACAAAGGTTAAGACCTCCTTGTGAGGCATTTCATTTAAAATGCGGCTTCCAGACTCCCCTGGTGGTACCGTGGATAAGAATCCCCCTGCCAATGCAGGGGACACAGGTTTGATCCCTGATCTCGGAGATTACCATCTGCCGCAGAGCAACTCAGCCTGTGTCTTAGAGCCCGGGAGCTGCAAGTGCTGAGCTCACACTCCCCAGAGCCTGTGCTCCCCAGCAAGAGAAGCCACCACTATGAGAAGCCTGTGCACCGAGACCAGAGTAGCCCCCGTTTGCCGCAACCAGAGAGCAAACCCATGTGTAGCAACAAAGACCCAGCGCAGCCAAAAAAAGTAAATTAATAATAATAAATAATTTTAAAAATTCTGCTTCCTATAATCACCTGGTCTTGGTAGCGCTCAAGGAAGGGCAAAAACTAGAAGTTAAGGAGCAGGACAATTTTTTAAGTCTTTAAACAGGAATAAGGTGGCTTCCCCGTGGCTCAGCGGTAAAGAATCCACCTGCAGTGTAGGAGACAGAGGAGGTGGGTTCAATCCCTGGGTTGGGAAGATCCCGAGGAGAAGGGAATGGCAACCCACTCCAGGATTCTTGCCTGAAGAATCCCATGGACAGAGGAGCCTGGCGGGTTACAGTCTGTGAGGTTGCATAGAATCAGACACGACTGAGCATCCTGAGAGGCTCTCTGGAAAGGGCGTGAACGCAAAGGGTCTTGTCTTAGTCTGCTCAGGCTGTGTAACAAAATACTACAAACTGCGTGGCTGAAAACAATGGATACTTATTTGGCACAGGTTTGGAGGCTGGAAGCCCAAGATGAAGGTGCCAGCCAATCCATTCCTGGTGAGGGCTCTCTTCCTGGCTTGCGGACAGCCACCTTCACCTGTGTCCTCCTGTGGCAAACAGCGGGTTAGCTCTCTGGTCTCTTCTCACAGGGGCACTAATCCCATCGTGACGTCATCTAAACCCAATCACCCCAAAGGCCTTGTCTCTACCATCTCATTGCAGGTAGGGCCGCAACAGATGGATCTGGGAGGGGACACAAACATTCAGTCCATGAGGTCTCTACCACACAAGGGGTCTTCATGTTGCGAGGCTGTCCCATGGTGAAGGGTGGCATCTGATTGCCAACAAGTCCCTGTTGGCCTTTCACTGGCAACAGGGGAAACACAACTTACAATGAACGTGACAAACTTCAGTCAGGCTTCACACAAGGACCTGAAGAGCTCAGAAGGTTGTTTTTCTATTTCTCTTTTTTTTTTCTTTTAATATAGCTTCTGTCTTTTTTTTCCTCCTGGCTGCACTGGGTCTTACCTGCGGCACTTGGGACCTTTATCACGTCATGCGGGATCTTTCTCATTGGCAGTGCACGGACTCTCTAGTTGTGACTCCAGGGCTCAGCAGCTGCGGGGCGCAGGCTTAGTAGTTCCACGGCATGTAGGATCTTAGTTCCCGGATCAGGGATCAAACCACCAGACCACCAGCAAAGTCCTGTTTATTGAGTTCTTGACACAGGCTATCAGAGCTCAAGATGCTAAGCTAAACCCCTATCCTCAGGAAGTTGATGCCTGAAGAATAACAACAACGGCCTGGGCCGTGGGGAGCAGAACAGACTGAGATGCCACCACAGGTAAAACACGTACCCTGGTGCGTGTCACCCGAGACAAGTAGAACAGAGCTTCTTCCACCTTCTCCCTGGTAGTTGATTTAATAGATTCTACTAGGGCTTCCCTGGTGGCTCAGTGGTAAAGAATCTGTCTGTTAGGCAGGAGATGGGTTCAATCCCTGGGTCAGAAGATCCCCTGGAGGAGCGCATGACAACCCACTGCAATATTCTTGCCTGGAGAATCCCATGGACAGAGGAACCTGGCAGGCTACAGTCCATAGAGTTGCAAAGAGTCGGACACACTAAAGTGACTGAACACAAAGGCATTAAGACTAAGATGCATTCTTACCATGTTGGTAAAAATCTACTATTTTCACTCAGCAATTCACTGTTGTGTTTACTATTAAAATAACTAAGTAAAAAATAAATAAATAAATAAGTAAAATAACTAAGTGACCTCAGTCTCACTGGAACAGGTTTAAGGGGCAGGGGCAGCGCAGGCGGTAAGAGGCCCTACGAACCTTGCTCACTGAGCCCAGCTCATGTTACCTGCTCCTCCACTTCACTCTACCCGTAATTGATGGCTGGTTTTTCTCTCTGAAAGCCAACATCTGGCATCCAAAGAACAAAAGCTCTCAGAATGGAAGATGTAGTCATATGTTATCAAGAACAGACATTTGAGCTATTCAGCTCTTAGGCAAGCACATCGGTGACTGTTCTGTTCCTGGCAAACAGACCGGTGCCATGTTGCTCCCTCAGATACCACGGGGAACTGGTATTGTTCCTCATACTTGGGTGTGTCCTTTAGGACAGATGTCATCTTTGGTTCTTTCAACCTGTAACTGTTCTCGGAATGGCTCCACCTTTCAAGGTTGACACGGTCCCAAATCAGAGTCTCTCCTCTCCACCTCACCCAAGACCTGCAAATGGGTACATTTTTATCCTTTCTGCAGAAAATATACTTTTTCTTCCTGCAACACCATCTGGCCAGACAGTGTATGTGCCATCCTTGTGCTGAGCCCCACAGTCTGGCTTTGTCACGGTGGTCAGCCCTGGGCAGCTGCTCTCTTGATGAGGGTGTAGCCTACAGATGGGCAGCTCACAGTTGACTCTGGTTGCACTCAGCTCACAGCACTGAATAAAGGCACCAGGCACCATAAATCAAGGTCCACAAGACAGTGTAGATGGTGGACCTGCCAGTCACGACTATGGGCATCTCTGGAGACAGACCAGCTTCCCATTCCTGCGGGACACACAGTCATCTTTCCAAAGAATCCGAGCCCTTTAGTGGAAACCTGGGTTGCTGGTTGGGTATCTTGAAACAGGGAAAACCGGGATCACACGGCACTCTTTCCATCCACTCAGTGACCATCTATCTGCAGACTTAAGTCCACGTCGCAAACGTCCCGAAGACTAAATGAACTAATCTGAACCTGAGGGGGTCACAGCCCATGTCCCTGGTTCATCCCGACACTCTGACGCCCCTGCAGGCACTGCTCTGAGACCCCTGGTCCCAGGTGTGGAAGATAAAAGCCTGGCCGACGGCCGAGGGTCCCCACTGCACCCCTTCAGGAAGATTTTCCTGATCAAGCTTTGCAGCAGCGAACACCGACAGCTTCCTGTGCGTCACGTGTGCTCTCTGAGGGTAATGCAAAGCGTTTCGTCTCCACCATGACCAACAAAGGAGACGCTCCTGCCCTCAGCACTCTGTGGATGAGGAAACCGAGGTGCTGGGTGCTCAGTAACCTCCTGAGGCCTTGCTGTGGGGTCACAAAGGAGCAGGGCCTGAAGGCAGGTGGCCTGGCCCAGAGCCGGTGTGCACATGAACCTCTGGCCTGGAATCTGTGGAGCAGGATGAAGGCGAGGCTGCTGAGTGGCCTCTGGCATGTCACCCCCTCTCTGGGCTTTGGCGTGTGCATCTAAACAGGGCAGGGTCCTGCTAGGGAACCTCCGATTGCCTTCTCAAGTCTAAACCATCAATCTAACCAATTCTTTAAGAGTTGGAAACAGGAGCTATATATTTTCAATGAATTTTTTAGTTTAAACTTTTTACTTTCTATTGGGGTACAGCCAATTAACAATGTTGTGATAGTTTCAGGTCAACAGCTGCGAAGGGACTCAGTCATACATATATATGTATCCATTTTCCTCCAAACTCCACTCCCAACCAGGCTGCCACATAACATCGAGCAGAGTTCCCTGTGCTATACAGTAGGTCCTTGTTGGTTATCCATCATTTTAAATTAGTTTTTATCCATGAGAAAAAAAGCTCAGGAGAGAATGGACCGAGAATGTACCAAATGTAGCAGAAACAGTCACCCGGTTATCTCTGAATGGTGGGATAAAGGGTTATGTTTCCCTTTTTACTTTTCGAAATATTCCAGCTTTCCCCACTCTGGGTATTCGTTGGATGAATGAAGGTATAAACATTACCCTAACAGAGTTAATAAAACAACTAGAAAGAGCCTGGCCTGGTGGCCCTCCAAGGTCAGGCCCTGGGGAGAGCAGCCAGTGGGGACGAGGGGTGGGAGGTGGAGGCTGCGTGGGGAAGGAAGGAGACCAGTCCCTGCCCCACACGAGGTGTGTGTGGGGTGGGCAGGGGTCAGAGAAAGAAGGTGCACAGCCAACTTCTAAGGGACGGCCTCTCTCCACCTTCTGGCCACTAGAAGTCAGAAGTCCCTAGAGTCAGTTATAACAAGTCACTCCTGATTTTAATTTCCCCCAAGGCAAAGGTTTCTCTTAAGAGCAATGGAACCCAAGCCAAACCGTCCCTTCATGTTCATTTCTGTTTTACCATCACATGCATCCTTTGCAGGCTTGGAAAAACCTAATTTGATCAAACTTTCAAAACCCACAGGCTTTATGTCTTTATCATTCCTTTCTTTAGTAACATTTCCTCCCTTGTTACGTAAGCAGGCAGATCTCTACAATTTGCCCCGAAAGGAGTTAAGTAAGCCTCAGACAGATTAAAAACTGGCAAAGCTTTGATCTGTATAATAAAACGTCTGGCTGCAGCTCTGGCTCCAGAGGAACAGGAAAGAGACTTGAGACTGAAGCATTTAGTGTATTTCACTCAAAGCTTCACAAAGCTGCCCTGAGAGGCTGCGGAGTTCACAGCCACCGGGACGCTTCTTAAATGCTTCAAAGCCTAGCTTCAAAACCTAGCTCTGGCCCTGCCCCCCTCTCTTTGGAAATGTCTACTAATTCAACAAAGGACAGTCCTGAGATAAGAGACTGCAAATGCATTAGAAAACAGAGCATGCACACATATTATTTTATTTACTTTCTTTAAGCCCAACTCTCAGGAGGTTTATGTTAGCTGATCATTTACCAGCTCATTACCAGCCAATTCCTAAAGAGGCAAAGGGCAACCCAGAGCCTGCTAGAGCCAGAAGAAGGCAGGCCGTCCTGGAATGCAGACCGGGCCAAGATCCTGGCTCCGCACCTGACATGCAGCTTTTAAAATTTCACTCACAGTTGACAAAACTCTAGTAAGGCCATTTGTAAAGAAACAATCCTTTCCAGCTTTACTCTTGGTGAACCAGAAATTAACAAAACCTAGGAACACTCAGCTTTATCAAAGTGGAGACATGATTAAGTGGTCACAGGTGATCTCAACATGCTATTAGACAGACCTCTGGATTTGCAAATATTTCTCTGATCTTTCTCTGAAATCAATGAGATGCTAAGAACTAGGAAATATGGGCTTCACTGTCAGATGAAATACTTGTTAGAGCTGCTAACTATAGAGCTGGAAAAAAAAAAAACTCTTTGTATTTACATCAAATGTATACAACACAGAACCTGATTTCACTAAATATGTTCAGGAGTCATCTGATGGAGCCTTACAGGATAAAAGTAGATGCTAGGAGTCTCTAAATTTTACAAAACATTTACTTCAAAACAAACATCACTCTCTTGAGAAGTTGTAATTATTTTCTCTCTTACTTTGTTCCCGAGCTTTTTGAGGAATAATGTAAATCTAGTTTAAGTGGAAAGAGGCTCGGGGCTTCCCTGGTGGTCTAGTGGTTAAGAATCCACCAGCCAACGCAGGGGACACAGGTTCCTTCCCTGGTCCAGGAAGATCCCATGTGCCTCGGGGCAACTCAGCTGGTACGCCCCAACTACAGAGCCCATGGACTGCAACCAGCGAAGCCTGCGAGCCATAGAGCCTGCATTCTGCAATGAGAAGCCGCAACAATGTGGGAGGTGAGCGGGCCTGAAGCATAGCCGGCGCCTCTCACCCTGGCAAGGGCAAAGGCCATGCAGAGCCTGGTCACACAAAAGCTCAGCTCTCAGCAACTGGCATAGTGGCATCTTTGGGCTGGAGGAGGATCTTTAAGGATCCAGAAGACTAGAAGGACTAGGAGGGAAAGTCCAGATATACTCCCCATCATTTTAAGGCTGTGACCATTAAGAACAGAAGACACACAACATGAACTATGGTTAAAAACACCTCCCCTAAAGTGAAAGTTGCTGAGCTGTGTCTGACTCTTTGTGACACTGTGGACTATACCCGCTAGGTTCCTCTGTCCATGGAACTCTCCAGGCAAGAATACTGGAGTCAGCTGCCATTCCCTTCTTCAGGGGATCTTCTTGACCCAGGGATCAAACCCATTGCAGGCAGATTCTGCACCAGGGAGGCCCAAAAACAGGGAAGCCTCCAACTCTCACCAAACACAAAGCCTTGGTTTTCAATCTGCAGTGGTGGCAACATTTTAACATTCATATAACCGCTCAGTTGCTCTCTGGAGCCAGTTAAGAGTTACCTTGGTGGTCAACGTAAGGCTTGAAGGCCTGCAGGATTTTTGGCACAGCTACCCCCATGTCAAGTTCTGTCAGAGTTAGCTCATTCATGAAGTACGGGAGCTGGAAGAGAGAAGGGAAAACGAAGGAGACACGTCAGTAGCCTGGTTAATTTTGGAAGTCCACAGTCTCAGAGGCAACAATGGTCCAGGTGTGGGGAACACATTTATTTAGCCAAAATTGATTAAGCACACACCACACATGACGCATCACGTTACAGACAGAGCCATGGATGAGTCAGGCAAGGTCCTTGCTCTCATGGGGTTTAAGCTGAAGGTGCAGAAACAGAAAAGTAGACAACCTAACTTCAGAGACTGACTGGGCTACAGAGAAAACAAGATGGGTGATGGGGAGGAGGAAGGCTGGGGAGTTTTGGATAAGGTCAGCGATGGCGTCTCTGAGGGTGTTGAGTGGCCAGAGGCCAGACTGTGGAGAAGGAATCAGTCACGCTGGTCAGGTGAATAATGCCCAGGGCTGGCTGAAGTCTGGGAAAACGGACTCTCTGAGAGGACTAGTGGGGAAGACAGGAAGTCACTAGAACATTGACTGTAGGCCAACTTACAACATGTATTAAAATCCTTCACACAAAAAAAATCACGTCCTTTGAGCCCTGTGCTAGACTTTTTCCCTTGCCCCCGTGGATTTGAGTTCCTCTCTACAGCCCGGGAGGCCGGTCTGTGGGAACCGCACGAATGACCTCTCTTGCCCTCTGACTTCTGCTTGAGCTTGGCCAGTGGGACACACGAGTGGGCAGGTGGCTGGGAGGTACCAGGAGGGAAGTACTGTCGGGCACTCGTCCCCTCCCTTTGCTCAAGGCCCCAGCTCCTGTCAGACAGGCAGCACCTTTGCACAGCCACCCTGCCTGAGTTTGGCTAACTGCTCCCCGCCAGCCCTGGGGTACTGCACTAGGCGTTTCGGTTTCTCTGCATCGGTCCACACCTTCCTAAATCCTCCCTTTATTAAACTCTCCCCCGCGGCTTGTTCTATCTGAATGTGTCATGTGTTTCCCACTGGGACCCTGACTAATACAGCTGTCAGTAAGAATTTACTCTAAATGAACTAAAATAAGAGTGCTGGTATCATGCTTAGAAATTCCTACTTCATCTCCAGAGCACAAAAATTAATTCTATGCTTCCTCCACCTGGATTAATGTATATTATGTGTATTTTAAACAATATAGTTTAGTTAGTCCACTATTAATTTTAGTGTAAGACATAAATTAGGAATCTACCTTAGTTTTTTCCCCAATGACTACTCAGGCGTCTTAACCTATTTCTAAATCTTTCCCTACTGACCTGCAAAGCCACCTTTCAACATGAGATTCCCACCTCACTGGAGTCTGTATTGAGCACTGTTTCCTAACAGTATCAAAGTGCTTTTATTACTGTAGCTGTAAAATACATTTTTATGTCTGGCAAGTCCATCTCTTTTCTTTTCCCCAGAATTTTCTTAGTCTCCTAAGTACTGCTCCAGTTAAACATTAGAATAATTTTGTAAAATTTAGAATATAATTAAGAGTTAAAAAAAAGTTGAACATATGCTGAACATCTCCCATAAAATGAGAAGCATCGAGCCAAGCATGAATTTTGTGCCTATTTGAGCTGGACCTCTTTAGCTGTCTCTCTGCAGAGAAACTCAAGACATTTTCAGGATTCGCCAGTCAGAGAATGTCATCTTTGATTTTTTGTGGGGATGGAGGTGCTAAATAGGTTATGATGTCTGAGATGGACAAAACGTGACTACAGTATTCAAATGTGTGTTCTGAATTGGTGGTTGCTTTATTTGGAAAACCATTTTTCCAAAGCATCAATGTTATATGGTACTTGGCCTCCCAAGCAGCCTACAGAAATGCTACTTAGCCAAGAATGTAGCCAAAATCTGGCACCCCTGCCCCAGTCTTGTGTGTCTATTATTGTCATCCCAACACCCAGTGTTTCTGGAGCAGGTCAGGTTTCTATGGGAACAGGAGCCAACACCGAGACAGGGAGTGGACTGCAGACAGAAAACGTGGAGTCCCTCCCTGTGCCCCGTCCAGCCTCCCACCCACCCCCATCCTGGCTCCCTGGAGTCCCCAGAGGGCAGAGGTAGGGCCTGAGATGAAAGCGGGAACCGAAGGAGACTGAGAAAGGCTTGGTGTGGTGGTGGGCACCAATTACCAGTAAGCAGGAGTGGGGATGGAGAGCAGCCAGGCGTCTCTCCTACCTACTCACCTGAGTGCCCAACTCCAAGCTTCTGCAACATTTCTAAGCAAGCCCCTACCTCTCCCTTGCTCAGATCTATCATCTGAATCCAAACTCTCAGGACCAGGCCCAAGAGCAGCTTCCTTTCTGCCCTGTGGGGGCGGGGGAGGGCCAAGGAAAGGTCACTCCCCCAACAGAGACTCTCCTCTTCCCACCCAAGGGAACCCAGGGTGTGCTCTTTACCCTTCATGTAAACCCAGCTGGGGACCGGGCACTCTCCAGGTTGCTGGGGGGTGAGTCGGAAACCACTGCAATAACTGAGCAGCGTCTGCTGACCTGGGCACAGAGGCCATAACTACCGGGGGCTCCAAGGTGGTGCCGGAGCAGCCGGCCAAGCAGGGTGTACCTGCTGTCGGGACAGAAACTCAGCTTGTTTTAAACCCATCACCGGGCATCAGCTACAAACACAGGGCTGCTCTTTCACGACGTGAGCCATAATCGCGGGTGAAGGTCAACACCCTGAGCCTGCAGCCAGGAAGAGCTGCCCATGTGTCATGCCCTCGAGGAGACCAGGAGACAGGGCAGAGCTCTGTCCCGGGGGCAGCTGGGGCTCCTCCAGCCATTCTGGCTCCTGACTGGTCACTCACTAACACTCAGCACTGGGTTTACGGAACGGCCCTGCCTAGGGAGACTTGGCTATTTGCTGATTGTAGTTCTCTTGGTAGGGGTGGTGGCAGGTTCAGAAGTAGGGTGATACCCTGCTGCTTTCTGGCTTATCCCATTGCCAGGCTCCCCCCTCTCGTCTGCAGGGCACTTCTGGGGGCAACAGCTCAGGTGGGGGTGGGGGGCCGGAGGTGCTGAGGCTGGCAGTATGGGGAGGACAGCCCCCGCCTCTGAACTGCTGGTGCTGCTGGATCAGGGCGCCTTTCTCCTCCCTGACCTCAAAAAATGGGAGGAGGTTTAAGTTTGTGTCCTGCAAAAGAGCCCACATGACCAGCCAGCAAAGGGAGAAGAAGAAAATGAGAGACTTTTCTCAACCTCTTCTGGGTTAAGGGACCCCATGGTTCTCCACCTTGGGTGGACTCCCAGCACCAGCACTCTGATACCCTGTCCCAGTCTGTTCTGGAACGTCTGTAACGGGAGAGTGGTGTCCCTCGTCACCATAACCTGTGGCCCTCCTGCTCAGGGAAGCGCCCATAACAGTCTCTGGGAGAAGAGCGGTATCAGCCCTGCCCTGCACCTCAACCCAGACCTCAAGCCCTCCATGGTTTTCCAGAAAGGGGAGAGGGCTGAGCGAGCTCCAGGGTGGCTGCTGGCCTGTCCACTCCAAACACTGCCTCCTGCTTCCCCGGGGACCTGGCCAGCAGAGCGGGCAACCCTCGACTCGCCCGGAGAACACAAACAGGCAGACCCTTGTCCACAGAGCCCTCCCTGCCTTGACCAGAGAGCCTGCCCTGAACTCTGCCTCGAAACCCGCTCCTCTGGCTGAGGTGGCGCCCCTTCCTCCTCCTCGGGGCCTGGGGAAGGGACGACAGTGAGCCGCGTGGCAGGGAGAGCCTGCCAGCGTCAGGAAGGGCTCTGTTCATGATCTAAAGGAACCAAACCAAAGCTCCTCCATGTCCACAGTTTCTTCGAACACCATTTTACCTTCATTCACTGTCTCCTAACATGGAGTCCCTGAACTCTCTGAGATCATGGGCAGGATTCTGTGTCACGGTGCTTTTTTCTAGGGAAAAGATCCATATGTTTCTGCTTCTCCAAAGTGGCTATGACCCAAAAGACACTGACTTCAGCTGCTGACTGGGCAAGCTCTCCGTGAGGATCTGCGGACCACGGCGACTCTTCCTTGGCAGGGTGTTCACTGGATCAAAAGCTTAAGTCTCAGTCACCTAACTCAGGTCTGCTGGTTGGCAGAGGTGGCACTGCATGAGGCACTAAGTGGCAACCGTGAAGAGCTCTTATGCAAGTTTAGACTCACTTCCAAGTGCCGGGACTGTTTCTTCAGCAGAGAGCGAGCCCAAAATAAAAACACCATCTGGCCAGAAGTAAAGGTCAAATGCAGACACACTGAGGGCGCAACAGAGGCCTTCCCAGCTTTGAGAGGAGTTGGGAAAGAGGCCTTATGGAGTCTGGCATTTTCCTCACAGCACATGCTGTGCGGCTGGGTGAGCTCTCCCGCCAAACGATTCAAGTTCATTACTAATTAAAGGTAACAGAATTCTACACAGCGGAACAGCTACAAAAGCTCACATGGTCCCAGATCCAATCCTGGATTTGATAATCCTAGAGTGGATAACAATGAGGGCCATGGAAGAAAAAAAGTAAACAGGAGCAGTCACCAAATCCCCAGATGCAGTTAGTCAGATGGTCAAGGTCACAGCCCAGATGTGTTATTTGGTAAGAACTCACTATTCTCCATTTGTTCTATGTTTTCAACCCCATTATTTTTCACTTAGGACATAACGTATAAAATTTCCAGAAATTAAGACATGATGAATTGGAACACTCTTGTGTGGAAAACAATACCTTTATTTTGCTGAGTTTCATTTGGATTTTCTTAGACACCAGATCAGACCAGTACTTCTCTCCTAAGAAGTCCCAAAACATTCTTCCAAGCAAGGCATTCACCCAGGCTTCCTGTTCCTCCTCCTCAGAGGGTGGCGCCTCTGGCAACTGGCAAAAGGAAAGGGCCCAAAATTAGCTAGAAAGCAACTGGAGAACAAGACAGGTGCTTATTTTTATAAAGTCACTGAAGGTTCCTCCCTCTCGAGATGGGGGAACCATGTGAGTCGTACGTTATTTCTTCCCTATAAATTACAAGTCCCACATTATGTCAGTGAACAAGAAAAAGAGAAACAAAAGCCACCATCACCGATGAAAACCCCTCTTCATCTATTTTCGTTTGCTACCAGTCTTCTCGTGAACCGGCTAATATTTCATATAATTAGCTCAGCCATATTACCCTACCGCACCCCCCCCCCCCCCGGCCCCCAGATCAGCTTGGTACCAACGTTCTGACTCAATGACACATCTCATCAAATGCTTGCCTATCTTTCTTCCAGTTAAGACTCCCAGGATGTCTAACTGTCAAGCTGGTCTCCCCAGACAGCCGCAGAACTCTCACATTTAGCCTGACTCCTATGAGATCACGATTCTCTTGGGCAAGGGGCAAGGGTTGCTTAGAAATACTGGTGTCTGGGTCCTGTATCCGGAGATGCTAATATGAGTGGGTAAGAGGATTTTCTAGAAGCTCTCTCATGGATGCAATGAGCAGGTGAGGTTGAGACCCACAGCCCTGGATTAGAGAGGGGAATTCTGTGCAACTCCTACACCTGTCCTCACCCATCTCTGCCCAGGCCTACCCTCCACTGGATACAATCCATCCCAAACACCTGTCATGGCCAACATGCGAGGTGGTGGTGGTGGTTTAGTCGCTAAGTTGTGTCCGACTCTTGCAACCCCATGGGTCGTAACCCTCCAGGCTCCTCTGTCCATGGAATTTTTCAGGCAAGAATAACTGGAGTGCATTGCCATTCCCTTCTCCAGGGGATCTTCCCAAGCCAGGGATTGAACCCAGGTCTCCTGCATTGCAGGTGGATTCTTTACTGACTGAACCACCAGGAAAGCCCAACGTGGGAGGTGGGAAAAGAGCAAACCCTGTTAGCCTCTAATTTCCAAGGCTGAGTACTGAGCCCTAGACTCTTGGTGGGAGAGGGCCAGGGTGGGGGACAAGTGGCCACGACACCCACGGCCCCTCTGAGAGCACAGGTGATGCTTGGGGCATCCATTGACCCCACACCCGGCCCTAGGATAAGACTCCTTCTCAGGCTCCCTCATCTACATCTCACAATACCCCAGAAAGACAGAACTTTTACTTCTATTTTAGGGAGGAGAAAACAGACTCAGCCCTGATCAGTGCCCTGCCTGAGGCCCCTAGTTCATCAGCGCAGCCTGACTCACAGCCCCTCCCTGTCCCCTAGTGGCGGGAGGAAGCAGGAGTGACTGGCCCCTGGTGTGACAGCCGTGTCCTGTGCCGAGGGCTCTAATGAGATGACAGCTTCACAGAGTCAATTAGCCTTGGAAGGCAAAGGCCAAAAGAACGAGAAATGCAGGATCTGTGTGGGCTATTCACCCTTTCTCTTCCCTCTGCGGTTGACACAATGCATTTGGATTGTCCTCACGGCTGCCTGCAGCCATTACACGCAGCGGACGCCTCTGTGCTCCATGCGTGTAGGCTCACGCCCGTCACGTCTGTCCTGGGCAGCCCCACACAGCTGTGTCCTAGGCTGGTGGCAGAGTACACGCGTGTGTGGCCTGGTGCTCATGGACTTGACACTTAAGAGATCTGGTGACGTGCGAGTGTCCTAAAGGTCTATGGCAGGTAACTATGTGTGACTCTTCTGAAGTCCGGAGCCCTTAGGGTCTGACCCAGTTGAACCGGTCACTGAGCGTGTGTGGAGCTTGGCAGATCACCCAGCGCCCACCTGTCCTCTACTCCTATCAGAACATGTGCCGTCTCTCGCTTTGGGGATGTGGTGTTCACTTGCATTTCTCAATGTAATGTTACTGCATATAAGCAGGGATAGTCTATGTTTGAGGAGTCCTTCAAATTGGGATGTTTTCAAAATTCTCCCTTATGAATGTTGGTGAGTTTCATTAAAAAAAAAAAATTAAACTCTGGTTTAAAAAATAAATACATTTCAGAAGACACGGCTCTAGCTGCCTTGTGTGAACAGCTGTGGGGTACCCTCGCTGTGCCCTTGGGCTGTACAGGCTTCCACTGGCAACCAGGGCACCTCGGCCACCGAGTCCCAGATGGATGAGCGGGAGTCTGTGCCCAGCAAGCACTGTCATGCTTCAAGTTGTATGTGGCTTTTGGAATCGCTTTTTTTCTCTGCCCGAACGTCTGCACCCCACCCAAGGGGAATCCGGTCTAGCTCTTCCGAGGTTACTCACTGTCTCTGAGTCACATGAGATTATCCACGCAGACTTCTGAGTGAGCACTCATCCAAGGACAATGCCCTCCTCCCCTGGGAGGCCGGGCAGAGCAAGACGCTGCCCACGCAGGACAGTGCGTGTCATACTCAGATCTGTAGGCTGTACAGAGAAGAGGTCACTCCTTCCCTTCTCCTGTGGGAGGGCTGGCCCTTTACTAACCTCTCCTTACACCCAAGTTATTCACAGGAAACGGGGTTTAACACAAAATAGAAAGAAACAAAGCCTATTTCACAACTTCTGTCCAAGCCAAAGGCATATGATGTGGAAACAAATTTCCGAAATTACTGACAAGCAGGTTGTGTTTTTTCTTTTCAACTGTTCCTTTTTCTAATGCAGGGCCTCTCCACAGACTTGAGGGGAACAAAGAAAAACCCAGGAGCAGCAGAATGCTGACAACGCATCAGAGCAGCTTTATGAACAACTGGGCTCAACAGGCTGCTAGAAAGAACGCACTTTCAATGAAAGTCATAAGCATGTAAGACCTTAAACAATAAGCGTGCATATACTTCCTCAGGCTGCTATTTGGCTGCAGGGAGGAATGTGAGAAGCATATTCATGTCACCATTTCAACTAAAGATGTGTATTTAGAAAGGGTAAGTTTCTAAAAATGGCTCCCAAAATAAAGTCTGGAGAGCTCAATGGCCAGGAGCTGAAGCAAGGCCATTAGAACAGTCTGATTAGCTCTCGGGAGGTATTTTATTAAAAACTAACCCGTAGAAAAAAAATAGTACAGATTAACTTTGTGTGGTGTAACTTCTCCTATTATAAACAGTCAGATGAGCCCAGCTTTTTAGGGACAAAAAGAGCTTAGAGGCTTTGCTGCTAAGCTTTGGTCGCACACAATCTGGTGTCATGAGGGTTTCACGAAGGGCTACATGGTCCAGGAGAAGGCACAGTGGAAGACCCTCCCATGGGAGCTGTTTCCCCAATTACAAAACCAAGCATAAGTGTTATAGAAAACACCCATAATCCCACTATCCAGATTTAATTATTTAAAACATTTTAACTGCATCTTCTTTCAGTCTGTTTTCAACGTATATATACTTTTAAGAATACGTAGCTTAAAAAAACAGATATATCTAACATGGTCTTGTATCCTTTTATAAAAACAAATCTATGGAGATATAATCCAGGAGGCACTACTGATAAAGAACTCACCTGCCAATGCAGGAGACCTAAGAGACTCAGGTTCAATCCCTGGGTCGGGAAGGTACCTTGGAGAAGGTTATGAAAACCCCCTCCAGTATTTTTGCCTGGAGAATCCCATGGACAGAGGAGCCTGGCAGGCTACAGTCCATGGCGTTGCAAAGAGTCAGATATGACTGAATTGACTTAGCACACAGCACAATCCACATACCATACAATTCAGCCATTTAAAGAGCATAATCAGTGGTATCTGGTATATTCAGAGTCGTGAAGCCATGAGCACAGTCACTTTTAGGATATCTTCATTACCCCCAAAGAAACCCTGTATCCACTAGCAGTCACTCCCCATTCCTCCCAACTCCATCCCCACCAGCCTGAGGCAACCAATCACTAATCTGTGGCAGTGAATTTGCCTATTCTGGACATTTCATAAAATGGAATCAAACAATATGTGTTCTTTTGTGACTGACTTCTTGCACTAAGCGTAATGTTTTCAAGATCATCCATGATGTAGCACGTATCAGTACATCTATCATTCCTTCTTATTGTGGAAGAATATTCTGTTATGTGCATACATCACACTTTATTCATTCTTCAATTGATGGATACTTCAGTTGTTTTCCACTTCTTGCTACTGTGAATAACACTGCTATGAACAGTTGTTCACAAGTTTTTGCGTGGACAGAGTTTCATTTCTCTTAGATGTATACACAGCAGTGGAACCGCTGGACCACATAACTCTTATGTTTAACATTCTGTTGTTGTTCAGTCGCTCAGTCTTTGCGACCCCATGGACTGCAGTACGCCAGACTTTCCTGTCCTTCACCATCTCCCAGAGCTTGCCCAAACTCATGTCCATTGAGTTGGTGATGCCTCCCAACCATCTCGTTGTCTGCTGTCCCTTCTCTTGCCTCCAGTCTTGCCCAGTATCAGGGTCCCTTCGAATGAGTCAGCTCTTTGCATCAGGTGGCCAAAGTGTTGGAGCTTCAGCTTCAGCATCAGTCCTTCCAATGAATAGTCAGGACTGATTTCCTTTAGGATTGACTGGTTTGATTTCCTTGTAGTCCAAGAGACTCTCAAGAGTCCAACACTCCAACACCACAGTTCAAAAGCATCGATTCTTTGCCACTCAGCCTTCTTTATGGTCAAACTCTCATATACATACATGACTACTGGAAAAATCATAGCTTTGACGATACGGACTTTGTGAGCAATGTAATGTCTCTGCTTTTAAAAATTCTAGGTTTGTCTAGGTTTGTCATAGCTTTTCTTCCAAGGAGCAAGTGTCTTTTAATTTTGTGAATGCAGTCACCATCTGCAGTGATTTGGGAGTCCAAGAAAATAAAGTCTGTAACTGTTTCCATTGTTTCCCCATCTATTTGCCATGAAATGATGGGACCAGATGCCATGATCTTATTTTTTTGAACACTGGGTTTTAAGCCACCTTTTTCACTCTCCTCTTTCATCTTCATCAAGAGGCTCTTTAGCTCCTCTTTTCTTTCTGCCACAAAGGTGGTGTCATCTACATA